TCCACCAGTTACCCTGGGCCTCTAAAGCAGATGAGCAATGTTATGTTTACCCTGGTACTTTTGTTTTCAACGTATGACTTTAACTCTACATTAACTCCTACCGGTACATTGATAAATTAGGATAGGTGTCACTGGCATCACTTTCCTTTTGCTCTTTTCAGTTCTGCGTGTATTTTTACATAGCTAGCCCTTTGAAAGGTACTGTGCTGTTCAAAGCCGAATGAATAGTTCAGACTCTTTTCCTCCTGGAGTCTGTGTGACTATTCAGAAGGAAATATCATCTTCAAGTGAGGGAGGGGAGTTAGGGGATCAGTACAGAAAGTACTCTTTGTAATGACCTTTGCTGGATGAATTTGATTTCACCAGGCTCAGAACAAGGAAAATTGTCAGGTACCATCTTATAGATAGTTGTATTTCTTGCAGCATTTTGTAGCTAGTTGTACTTAGTGTGAATTAGCATTTAAATATTTTTATACTGCCATACAAAGTGAGTTTGAACTTAAAATAGTGAAATGTTGTCATAGGGGGAGGAGGGGTGGCAGGGGGAAGAGGCTTACATGCTGATCTACAGACTTATGTTCCAGAGTGTGGCAGGGAAGCTTGTTCACTATCTAGTCATACTCATCCTGGGACAGAATGTTTGTTTTGCCTGAAATTTACAGTGAGGAGCAGGTTACTATCACCTAATATAGACCTCAGAAGTGAAGAAATTTAAGTATAACAGGAATTAGATTTCAGTTTTCTCTCTTATGTTGATTGATCACTGTGATTTAAGCACTATTTGTAAATTGATTTTGTGGTCCTACTAAATTAACAAAAGCATTTTGGAAAGTTAGAAGCACAGCACGGGTTTGGTTTAGTTTGGTTTGTTTTCCCATATGGTTCCCTGTAGAACACTTCTTTCTACCACTGTGGATTCTGCTTCTCTAAGTCACTTTGTCCACAAGACTTTAAGATTCCTCCCCAAAATCCAGCCCGTCCAAGCCATTGGTGGGATTTTCAGCATTCTTCTTATATCGCCATAAAATAAAGTGCTAAAGAGAAAGCTTTAGAAAGAGCTTCAACAACTTTAACAGGGAAGAGTTGGGTGACACTCGGGACGTTAACGAGCTGAAATGTTGTAGAAGACTTATTTCGAGCCTATCTTGATTAGTCTAGGAAAGGCACGGTAAACCTAATGTGGACTGAATTTGTGATTTCTGCACCTTTATGTATAGTTATTTTACCATGTCATGGAATATAAGTGGTGTTCTTCTGTACACAGAGTAATATAAGTTAAGATACACTTACCATTTCGCTATCTTCCTTCCAAGGGAAAATCCACCAAAACAAAAGTGTTTTAAGAAATTGTCCATTGGTTCAGAAACACATATTATGGTTGAAATCCTGACTGTGTGAAAATGAGTTAAAAATATGGTAGTACCCCGGTATCTGTAGTATCTTTCCATGGTTTCAGTTACCCAGGGTCAACTGTGGCCTGAAAATATTACATGGAAAATTCCAGAAATAAATAATTTATAGGTTTTAAATTATGCACCATTCTTAGTAACATGAGGAAATCTTGTGCTGCCCTACTCTGTCTGGCTCCATCCCACCTGGGATGTGAATCGTCCCTTTGTCCAGCGTCTCCACTTTGTATATGCTACCAGCCTGTTAGTCACTTCGTATCTGTCTCAGTTATCAGATCACCTGTCGTGATATCACAGTGCTTGTGTTCAGGTAACCCTTATTTTACTTAATAATGGCCCCAAAGAGCAATAGTACTCTGCCTGATTTACAGATTAAATATAGTATAGGAAAAAAACATAGTATGTGTAGGATTTGGTACTATGTGTAGTTTCAGGCATCCACTGGGGGCCTTGGAGTATATCCCCCTCAAATAAGGGGTGACTATTGTAATTACTAATTGTTCCAATACAGATGAAGACATAATATTAAAGGTGTCGATGTAAATGTAATGCACAATGAGAAATTACAGATGTCATGGGATCTGGTCTTTCTCACATTTTTAGGATTCTAGTGGCTCACATATTTTAGAGGAAATTCCAGATCTTTAAATATTAGAAATCAGAACTGTTATATTTGTATAAATTCTTGTTCGGAAAAAAATTCTTAAGAAAAGCAAGTATCTCTTTTCTTTTAAAATTTTTCAATTGCGTAAAATTAGAATTCTGCTCCTTTAATCTCAACCCCCTAAGGAAACCATTGTTATCATTTTTGTACATAGTCCCAATTATCTATCCATTTACCTATATATGTACATTTACATTTGTATTTTTAACACTGATGTAAACCTGTTATTTAGTTTTGTTTTTTGTTTGTGTGAGAAGATATTCCAAAATTTCTTCACCTTTTAAAACCTTATTCAGAAGAGATAAAACTAAATGAAGAGAAGAATTATAGGTAAATTGCAGAACTGTCAGTATTGAATCTTAACACACAAAAGTATTTCTACACTTTTTATTGTTTATGTCTTTATGTTGATTTTTGTAGCCATGCAGTGGTTTATGGATTATGTCAGACAGTTAGTTCTGTGCTGTGCAAATACAGTGGCCAGTAGCCACATATGGCTATTTAGCACTTAAAGTATGACTAGTCCAAATTGAGATGTGCTATACCTGTAAAATACATACTGAATTTCAAAGACTTTGTACAAAAAGAAAGAATGTAAAGTTTTTCATTAATAATTTTATATTGATTATATGTTAAAATGATAATATTTTGGATATACTGAATTAAATATATTATTAAATATTTAAGTTCTTCACCCATTTCCCTTTCTTTTCTCAATGTGGCTGCTAGAAAATTTTAAATTACAGATGAAGTTTGCATTTGTGATCCACATATGTTTTTGATGACAGTGCTGGTCTAGATCATCTATATGTTTGTCTATTTATGTTTTAGAAACAACATCATCATCTCAACACAAAACCCTGTTGAATAAATTTCAGCCATAACCTGTGATTTTTATTTTCTTAACTTTTCAAATGCTGTTTCCATCATCTTTAGATTTGTTTGTTTGTTTGCAGTTCAGTGGTACTTTAAAATACCTCTCCCTTTGATACCAGTGAGTCTCCTAGGAATTTAAATATGCCTCAGTGAAAGCAATACTTGAGCCTCATTCATATGTTCAAGTTAGATCATTATTCCTAATAATGGCTTTCAGTGCTTAGCATTTCCTGTCCGGAATTGCTTGTCATTTCTTTATAAAGATGTTTCAAGAAATTGCTCCATACAGTTCCTTCTTTCATTATTTTCTAGCAAAAAGTAACAATCCTTTATTAGTTTACTGGAAGTCAGAAAAGAAAAGCATTTTGTATTAGCAAAACAAAATGTATTTCCAGTTACTAAGAATAAAAAGCAAAATAAGTGATGAGCAATAGTCCTGTGAAAGTTAATTTTTAAAATAAATCATAAATACAGTGTCAATCTGCCAGTGGCTTTAACCTATTATACTTGGGTCCAGGTTGTCATCAGCTACCATGAGGAAACCTATGTAATTCCTAGAGAGAGAAAACTTGCACTGTTAGACTTAATAGTATGGTAGTCATGGAAGCATCAGTTATCTTCATCAAGGCAATTCAGATTTGATTATTGTAAAACTGTGTTGAATACCAAACCAGTGGAGTAGTAGCTGGAGCTAAATCAAGGGATTGTCATTTTTGTCAGATGATTAGGGCTGGCTAGGAAGAGATATGAAAGGGTTGAACTGTGTAAATATTCTCTTTTCAGCAGAAAAAGAAAAGGTCCTTCATGGCTATTAAGATGAAGCTTGTTAGCTTGATGAATTTCAAACTATTTAACCTAAGCAATCATATGCCCCCTCTTTCCCCTGCCTACATTGCAAGTATATCAGTGCCTTGGGAATATGTCTCTAAGGATTGATATCTAAGCATATTGGTAATTTTCTATTAAGATAAAAAGCAACTTTTCTGTGTCTAAATATATCTCTCAAAGAATAGTGCAAGCTGTGGTTCAAAGACCTAATTATTAACTTGAATTGTATGCTCAGGTAAACATTAGAACACATTTATTCAGAAGTTTTTAAAAACTTTTTCACAGAAAATATATGTAATTTAACATTTTAGAGATGATATTCATTTAAGTTAGGCTGAAATATGTTAAGTTTTTATAAAGTAGATTTGTTTAATTTTTATTTGCCTGTGAGGGACTTGATATGCAGAATTTTGCTCTGAGAATAGATAATAATAGATACGTTTAAATAACAGTAACACATTTAAATAGACACAGTTGGCCTAATGATTCAAAAACATTTCTGCAATGTTTACATATTAATATTAAATGCCAGGAAAGGCAGTGTTAATGCTGCTTTTATGAAACGTGCATTGGTCAATTTGCTCTTGTATTGTAATAGTTATCCTGCTAATATTTCCACTACCTGGCATAGTTTGGGTACTTATTAAGCTAATAAATAAGGGTGGGTGACATAGAAATTACTAAGTTTAGAAGAATTGCTGAATTCTGAAATAACATTCATTTTAGGAGAAGAAAGACTTGGTGTGCCATCTAGTGGACATATTTAGCATTCTGGTCCTAAAAAACTAATGGTGATTTTTTACTCTTCCTGCAAAATGCAGCTGTCTTGACACCTTGTTTCTCTCAGCACTTTAGCATGGTTTGTGCTAAGTTATATCTCATATAGTTTTCAGTTTTGTTATAATTTTATCTTATTACATTTTAGAAAGTTATATTTGAAAGTCATCAAAGCCATCAAAAATAAATCTAATGGCAGGAGTGAATCTATGTGAACTATAAGACAGGAAAAAATAAAATATACTAAAACAATTGCAATTTTAAGGACTAAGATCCATTAAGAGGAACTTAAACAATAAAAGCAAAACTGAAGCACACCAATTATTAAACTTTATTTTTATACATATTCTTTTCTGAAGGAAATTAAAATGATCATTTCTTTTATATGCTAATGTATAGTTTAAATAGCTTTATACATTTTAATTTTTTTTGTTTTGTTTCTTTAGAGAAATCCAAGACCAGTAACTTATCAATTCCATCCAAATTTAGATTATTACAAAGCACGGGGAGCAGACCTGATGAATAAAACTCGGTAAGTTTCCTTTATCTGATGATAGTTATAAATCAGGAAGATAGTCTCAGAGATCATCAGGAAATTTTACACATTTGCGGAAAGTTATTTACCAGATTTTAGTATATTAATGGCTATTGTGCATAATGAATCTTTGTTAAATAAATTACCCAAGTTTTTTTTTAAAGCATACGAAATGGTATATATTGACATCAGTGCTAAGATGAAAAATTAAATATAAGAGTAGTTGTTACAACTGAAGTTAGGCAACTTCATTTTTCTAACTCTAATAAACCTGAATAAATTGTGCCTACTTGTATAATCTCCTTCTAGATTCTTGCTGTTGATTGAAAAGAGGCAGTTCTATAATATATTTTTAAATTATTTCAGTAACAAAATTAAAATGGTTTCCCAACTGTCTTTAGAACTACATAATAAACTTATAAATGCATCTTGTGTGTGCATTGTGATTGCATACATAGAAATTTTAAGGGTCACTGTAGGAATAAAAAAACATTAAAATCTTCCTTTTTAAAGAAATTAACATTGGCATAAAGGTTTGATGAACAGTTTTGTTCTTTCATAATACTATATTCAGATGTCTCAAGAGTTAACTTGTCACACCAGAACCATTTCAACTTAGAATGTAATTTCAAAGTTTACTCTGGAAGACTAAAATGTTAGTAATGATAAATGCTGCCAAGTTGTCCGAATTTTCTTGCTTAAGCATTTTGTGTATGTGCTAGCTTTTCCTCAGTAGAATTCCAACAGCCTAAATATACATTTATGCAGTTCACAGTGTGTTCTGCTGTTAACTGGAGAGTTAAACGTAAGATATAATTCCTGCTACATAGGAACTCCTAGTCTAAAGGATGAGAAGTTTACTACAAAGTGGCTAAATTTAAACCTGAAATTTGAACCCTGTTTTAGTATAATGTTATTGTAAAATGACCCATCTATGATTGAAATTTGTCCCATATTTTGATGTACTGTGTAATTATGAGACCAGTTCCACAAACCATGAGACTTCTCTGAAGCTCTTTTCTGTTTGTTCATTTCATCTGAGTCTTGTTACACAAACAAAAAACTATTCCCTATTGCTACTTGTTTATTTAATTCAATAAATTTTTATTTAGTGCCAGACTCTGATTATTTTAGACACTGAATATGCCGGGGAACAAACCAGACAAAAATCTCTGCCTTCAAGGATCTTAGAGTCTGTCACATGTATTTCTTCCCCAGTAGGTCAAGTATTTAGTTTTGGTATGTTTAAAAGAACAAGGTATGTTAGGTTCTTTCTTTATACAAGATCTTTCTAACTGGAGTCTCTTCTTTTCCCTCTCCTGCCACTATCAGACTTTTTTTCGCACAACAGCCAGAAAAACCTCAATTTACAACATGTCATATCACAGCTCCACTTAAACTGCTCCAAAAGCTTCCTGTTGCCCTTGATAATCCAGCCTTCATCCTGCGGCCCTTCCCTATCCACATCTGCTGTTTCTTGCTCTGCTTGGGCCTTTGCTCTTAAATCCTCCCTCCTGCTAAGCACTCATCCCACCCCCATCTTTTCGTGCCTCTTCACGATTTGTACTCATCCCAGATGTCATCTCTGAGAGGCCACTTTTGACCTCCCTGCCTGTCTTATCCTCCCTGATTTATTCCTTATGCCATTGCCCAACTTATTTTCTTCATAGCATTCATAACTAAGTTATATAATTCATTTGTGTGTTTATCATCTGTCTCTCTAATCCCCCCACTAAAATCTAAGCCCCCTGAGGGCAGGCACTTTGTCTTATTCATCACTTCATGGCTCCTAGGACAGTGCCTAGTATAGGTAAGGTAATCAACAAATATTTGTTGTATGTATTTTTGTATATATATTTTTTTTAACATTTACTTTTTTCCCAAACGAAATGGACTGTACCCTTTCTTTTCTCCCTCTTATTTTTTCTTTTCTTTAGCCTTCTCTCCCTGTACTTTTCTTCTGCAGAATGTTGGTTCTGTTTTACATATCTCCTCATAAGCACACTGAGATTCTTGTACAAGATATCAATTGATGTTCAAAAGAAGGTTTTTCATCCTTTCTTTTGCAATTTCAGAACTTGAAATTGAGCCAAATGAAATGTAATATGTGATGTAGAAGACATCACAGACCAGTGAGCAAGGAAAGAGTTAATAGATGGAGTTGAGAAAACTGGCAAATCTTTGAAAAGGGATCAACTTATAACCTTACCACACACCATAATAAATTCCAAAGTGCACTCAAACAAGCAAACATAGAAACAAAATATAAGTGCCTATTTGTCCAATGGTTGAAGATTTTTTTAAATTTTTTTTTAAAAATTTCAGTTGACAGACAATAACTGTATGAGGACTTTTTAGCCTTAAAAGTAATGGAAGAAATCACAAAGGGAACAACTGGTGGATTTTACTATACAACAGTATTTTTAAGTAGATATGTCAAAAATAAACTGAATCAAAAGGCAAATAAAAACTTAGGAAAATATTTGTAGTAGATGCAACTGACAAAGTATAATATCATTAATGTGTGAAGAACTTGTGCAGTTCAATAAGAAACAGAAGATCCTGTCTCAGTGGAAATTCCATCAAGAAACAGAAGATCCTGTCTCAGTGGAAATTCCATCTCATGCCACGCTCTCCCTAGATCCTCTTCTTTTCCTCTAAATGTTTGAACACCCTGCTCTCCCACCCCCAGGCTTCTTTTCTTCTCTATTGTCATTCCTTAAAAGATCTCAGCCCCGTTCATGGCCTCACATACCATCGATGGCTGAAGGATCCTTAGTTTACATCTTCAGTTTGACCTTTCCCTTGAACTCCAGACTCATATATTTCACTGCCTCAGTATTTCCTCTTGGTTGTCCTGTCTGCATCTCTAATACTTTCCAACTTGAACTCTTGATTCTGCCTCCACCACCACAAACCTGCTGTTCCTCCAGCGTTTCTCCGTCATGGTAAGTAGTGCTCCCCAGTTGCCTTAGAATTGTCCTTGACTCCTCTTTTTCTCTCACATCACACATCAAGTCCACCAGCAAATCCTCTTCAAAATATATCCTAAATCATGTCACTTTTCTCTCTCCGTACTACTCATACCAAGTCACCATGTCATTGCTTATCTCACTGCCAGTCTCCCTGCTTCCTCGCCTCTTTATAGATCCTTCTTCACACAGCAGCCAAAGTAACATTAAGTCAGATCATATCACTTCATGGCTCAGAGTCCTTCAGTGACTTCCCAAAACACTTAGGCTAAAATCCAAAGCCTTTTCAGTGGCCTGCAAAGCTGGCGCTATTAAGATATAGCTCCCTGTTCTCTCTCCAGCCTCATTTGCTACCACCACTTTCCTTTACTGTTCACTGGGCTGCAGCTGCACTCACCTGCGTATATTCCTCAAGCACAGAAACATGTTCCCACTTCAGGAGCTTTGTACTTGCTTTTCCCTATGCCTGAAATGTTCTTCCCCAAGAGTCCACGTGGCACACTCACTATTCAGTCTCTTTCAAATACCATCTCTTCAGAGAAGATCGCATTGACTAGTCTGTCTAAAATAATGAGCCCCTTTGCTCTCTGTCTCTTCACTTTGCTTTGTTGTTTTTATTTCTGTGTTTTTCATAGCAATTCTCACTGAAATGGTATTTTTAGCTTTTTAAAAAATGTATTGTGGGGTATTTTTATTGTTTATTTCTCGTGCTAAAATGTAAACTCCATGCTTATCTTATTGTAGGCACTCAATGAAAGAAGAATTGCAAGCAGCAAATAAACATTTAAAAGGTGATTCAAACTCATAATTAGTCAAAGAAATGAAAATTAAAACAACAATGAATTATCATATTCACCTTTCATATTAGCAAGTTAAAAATCAGTTAGCCCACACTGGTAACCATGGGTCCCCTTAGTCACCAGTTGAGAGAGTATAAATTGAGACAAACTTTATAATCTTGCCAAAGAGTTCTTCCACCTAGATATGTAGTCCTTATTACTACCATATTATTCCCTGGAGATTTGTTCATCATGGTCTAGTTCATCTGTGATCAAAAATCAGTGTAGCTATGAAACCATTGATGAAGTTCTTGTTTAGCTATTTAAGGCCAAAGATGCTTTTACCAGACTAGGCTCTCAGCATAATTGGCCTTGCTACTACTTACTTAGCTGTTAGGAGACTTAGAGAGTTGGTGCATTGGAGCTGTCACTGAGAAGCAAGAGGGGAAGTGGGGATAACCCAGAGGGGATATATATACTCACAGGGGAAACCCCCAGAAGTAATCAGGAAGTAGAGGTTAGACAAGAGACAGGCAGCCACCTGGAAAGCAGGAGGCTAATCCCTGCCACATCTAGGGCAATGGACTTCTATTTATGTTGCATATCCAAATAAGGAACGCGGATGCAAAGATGACATGTGATTCTATGGATAAGAATATCTCTAAAAATCAAGAAGCCTGATTTCTCTTCCCTGCTCCACCATGGATTGCTGTAATTAAGTCTTTAAAAGCAAATGCCTAGGTATTTTAGTGGTAGATTTTCCATTACATGTGTGGATAATATTCACTGTGCTCTGATTTCACTTAGTTGCACATTTCTTTTTAAAAATGGGAATTGACATTCTGTTATTCATTCAACTTTTGAGCTCAGAATAACAATTTAACACTCACTCAAATCTTGTTCTAGTTTTTGTCCTTAAATAACCAGAAATTGCTGCTATAAAATAAAAAGTACACTTAAATTGTGACCAGTCTTCAGAAAGACCCATCTAATTTATTTAGGAATCTGTGACTATTGAGATGCCCTTTGAGTAATCACAGAACAGAATTTCATATTATTTAAAGACTGCAATCTCCTATATTAAGAGTAGGATCACATATCCTCTTTGTTCCAGAACATTCATAGATTTTGTTTTGAAAATGACACAACACAACTTTTCAAAATGTGTAATTCTTTCTCCTATGCAGATGATGAAATACATGGTAGACGAGCTGTCAGTAGTGCCTCATGAGCACGTGTCACTTTA